ACTCCATGGCTGCAAATGCAACCCAGAGAAGTAATGGAAGGACTTCCCAGTGCGTGTTTGACTGCAAAATCTTCCTGATTCAATGACTGTACTCTAGGGCATCTTCCGGACTGCACAATTATAGTGCTGTGATTCCACTTTAATCACCATCCTAAAGAATGATGGGATTTACACTCTAGACCAGTGGTTTTCAACCTGGGGTCCCCAGATGTTTTTGGCCTACAACTCCCAGAAATCCCAGTCAGTTTATCAGCTGTTAGGATTTCTGGGAATTGAAGGCCAAAAACATCTGGGGACCCCAGGTTGAGAACCACTGCTCTAGACTTAGCAGCCAGAGAGAGTTCCAGTACCTCCCACAACCTCATAAATTTCCATAGGATACAATGAACTCATAATGTATGGATAGATGGAATATGGATAGATGGATAACAGAAGAATGGATAGATAGACAGATGGATGGAATCTGGATGGATGAATAGATGGACAATGAATGGATAGATGAATAGATTGATGAATAATAGATGGATTGATGAATTAATAAATGGATACTGGATGAATGGATGGATAAATTGATGAATGGATAGATGGATGGATGAATAGATGAATGGATTGATAGTAATGGATAGATGGATAATGGATGAATGGACGGATAGATGAATGGATTGATGGTAATGGATAGATGGATGGATGAATAGATGGATAATGGATGAATAGATGGATGAATTGATTGGTAAAAGGTAGATGGCTGGATGGATGAATAGATGGATAATGAAAGAATGGATGGATAGATGGATGAATTGATTGGTAATGGATGAATAGATGGATAATGGAGGAATGGATAGAATGTGGATGGATGAATAGATGGATAATGGATGAATAGATGGATGAATTGATTGGTAACGCATAGATGGATGGATGAATAGATGGATAATGGATGAATGAATGGATAGATGGATGAATTGATTGGTAATGGAAGGTATGATGGATGAATGGATGGATAATGAGTGAATGGATGGACAGATGGATGGATTGAGGGTAATGGATAGATGGCTGGATGAATAGATAGATAAGAGATTAATAGATGAATCAATTGATTGGTAATGGATAGATAGATGAATAGATTGATAATGGATGAATGGATTGATAGATGGATGGATGGAATGTGGATGGATGGATGGATGAATAGATGATAACGGATGAATGGATGGATAAATGAATGGATGAGTAATGGATAGATGGACAGATTAATAGATGGATAATGGATGAATGCATGGATAGATGGATGAATAGATGGATAATGGATGGATAGATAGATGAATTGATTGGTAATGGATAGATAGATGGATGAATAGATGGATAACAAATGAATGGATGGATAGATGAATGGACTGATGGGTAATGGATAGATGGATAGATGAATGGATGGATAGATGAATAGATGGATGGAAAGTGGATGGATGAATAGATGGATAATGGATGAATTAATGGATGGATAGATGAATGGATAGATGGTGATGGATGGATAGATGGATGGATCGATAAATAAATGGCTGGACAGATGAATGGACAGAGTGAATTCATAGTGCAGTGCGGAAGGACCCTATACGTAATGTTTGCAGCCCCAGCTATTTGCCAACCTACAGCAAAACAGAACTTCCCATTATAGATACTCAAGATATCTTCAGCTGAGAGGAAGAATTCCATTGGGAAGAAACTGACCAAACATGGGATGTTACTGCCTGCCTTTGGTCTCCCTCTGGGGAAATAAATGGATGGATTGACCATCTATGGCCTCTGGCCTCTTGGAGAGTGAAAGATGGAGTGGAAGGAGAAGAAATCATTCTATTTCCAAGACGGAGGAAGGCTGGGGATTTGAGAACGATCTTAGGGCTGCAATGGGGAGGATGGGACTGAGGACAGAGCTCTATCTGATGGAAATTGAAATGCCCTTTTGTTGGGGAGACCTCTCTGGGGAAAGCACTGCCCTCCTGAACTTCTCTTCCAGCTGCTTTCAGAGTGTTGTTCCCCCGGGAGCAAAACAGGCTTCTCACGGATTTGCACAAGGGAAAAGGCTGAGGAAAGCACTTACGGTCAGCTTCAGCTGCAAGTCGGGGAAAACATTTTGAAGGAAAAGGAACAGTTTGGCTTGTTGTTCTGGATCTTGAAGTTATTCCCATTTATGGTGACCCCATTATGGTGCTTTGTGGGGCTGAGAGTGTGCAACTTGCCTGAGGTCCCCCAGTAGGTTTCCATCTCATTGAACCCCTATTTATCCAAGGGCCAAACAGCCTGCCCTCTATGCTTCCTTCCCAAACAGCCATGCCAGTGAAGAAATCAATCCATTCCAGGTTTTGGATAAAGTTTGAGAGGAAAACCCAAGCGGAATCGCTGCTCCGCTGACATGCGCCACAACCGGTGCTTGCAATGCTTCCTCGGGGATTTGGGAAACACAGTCCCCTCTCCAAACGCAATTGCCACTTGCAGCACAATTCTAGCACTACTCCAATGGCATCCTGGGATTTGTAGTTTGCTGAAAGACTTCACATTTCCCACAATGGAATTTCCCACTATAGATCTCTACATCCTCCATGAAAAGCCCTTTTGTCTAGTCCACTTCAATGAACTAGAGCTCTCAGTCAGAGCATCCTAAACACCTCCCCAAACTATAAATCCCAAGATTCCATAAAAGGGAGACAGGGTATCCAAGTATAATAATTGCATCATGTGACACACTTTGGGGAAAATGGGATATAGGTTAAAGGTAAAGGTTTTCCTATGACATTAAGTCTAGTTGTGTCCAACTCTGGGTGGGTGGGTGGTGGTAGTGGTGTTCATCTTCATTTCTAAGCTGAAAAGCTGGCGTTGTCCATAGACACCTCCAAGGTCATGTGGCCGGCATGACTGCATGGAGCGCCCTTGCTTTCCTGCTGAAACGGTACCTATTGATCTACTCACATTTGCATCTTTTCGAACTGGTAGGTTGGTAGAAGCTGGGGCTAACAGCGGGAGCTCACCGTGCTCCCTGGATTCGAACCTGCGACCTTTCAGTAAGCAAGTTCAGCAGCTCAGAGGTTTAACCCACTGTGTCACCGGGGGCTCCAAAAATGGATATAATAATGGGATATAATAATAATAATAATTCCCTTTCTCACCACACTGTTAAAATACTCAGCATTACTTCTTCATTTAAATGCATTTGCTAAATATTATGAACACCTTCTTTCTTCAGCCTTTTTTCACCTTTCAGATCCCTATTGTTTATATATTTTGGTTTGGTGCATGGTTACAGCCAGAATATATGTGTGTGTGTGTGTGTGTGTGTGTGGAATCTTGCTTGGTTCTCACATCTCCTAGTTTGCCTGGGTCTGTTATTTTATTTTAATGGAAGTTGCCTCCGGAGCAGCCGAAACTGCATCTCTTCCAATGGACCCCGGCCACTAGGGGGTGCTGTTTCCCACCCATATTTGCCCTCATGCATCTTAATAGCATGCGGCGGACCCATGCGCCAAGACTCTAAGAAAACAATGGCCCCTCCAATTGTCCCTACCAAAAAATGTAATAATAATAATAATAATAATAATAATAATAATAATAATCGGCCCATCATCGCGCCTTTAAAAATGTTAGTGATGCTTTAAGTCCCAGAGGACCAGATGAGGAATAAATAATATTCCGATAATAAACAATCTAGCATTTGGGGAGACCATTAAGGGTTTAGGGATGCCCATATTTTGCCCATTCATGATGAATAAATAATATATGCAAATATAGTCAGACCTCCATATTGGTGGGTTTAGCTTTCAGATTTGATTATTCGAGGATCTAGTCACTATGTTCTCTCTCAGAATTGGTCATCTAGGCATTTGTAGGTCCTCCACTGGAAGTCCCTTACAGTCAATGTCCTACCAAGTTGACCGTAGAGTCGCATTGGAGAACCTAGAGATTCTTAAGGAGAATACTTCTCCAGGCATTTGTAGGTCCTCCATTGGAAGTCCCCTATAGTCAATGTCCTACCAAGTTGACCATAGAGTCACATTGGAGAACCTAGAGATTCTTATGGAGAATACTTCTCTGGGCATTTGTAGATCCTCCACTGGAAGTCCCCTATAGTCAATGTTCTACCAAGTTGATCATAGAGTTGCACTGGAGAAACTAGAGATTCTTAAGGAGAATACTTCTCCAGGCATTAGTAGGTCCTCTACTGGTAGTCCCCTATAGTCACTGTTCTACCAAGTTGACCATAGGCTCATATTGGAGAACCTAGAGATTCTTATGGAGAATACTTCTCTAGGCATTTATAGGTCCTCCAGGGTGATTCTATGGCCAATATTCTACAGAAAATCACCACAGGGTTTTGTTGGAGGATCTCTAGACTCTAGACATTGCCTGGATGCATAGGGAGGTCTCCCATTGTGGCTCTATGGTCTACTGCAGTGGTTCTCAACCTGGGGTCCCCAGATGTTTTTGGCCTTCAACTCCTAGAAATCCTAACAGCTGGTAAACTGGCTGGGATTTCTGGGAGTTGTAGGCCAGAAACATCTGGGGACCCCAGGTTGAGAACCACTGGTCTACTGGAAGACCAACGAAGCATATCTGGGTCTCCCAATGTGATTCTTTGGGCAACGTCCTGTGAAATCCGACCACAGAGTTGCACTGGAAGGTCTACAACTTCCCAGAGAAGTATGAAAAATAGCATATTTTTAATTCATAACTTTTCAACTTTTGGGAAAGCCCAATGCCCAATATGGAGGGCCTACTATAAATGAACGCCTATCGAGAATTGATGGGGAGGGAAGTTGGGGTTCCTCTCTGACCCTTAAAGCACCGCTCAAAGATGGAACAAAAAAAGGAAATGAAAAGAGGTCTTCTGCTCTCCTGATGGTCAAACCGAAGCAAGCCAAAAAAGGAAGCCTCGGAAGGCGGAAACGGCAAGGGCCCAGTCTGGCTGTGGCCGCAGGCAAGGCTGAGAGGGAGGGTGCTGTGTACCGCTGTCTACCGACCGGACAGGTCTATCGCCTTACTCCGGCGCTTCTTCTCCAGCCTCCGCAGGCGCTTCTCCTCCCGGCGCCGGGCCTCCTCCGCCTCCTGGTGCTGCCGGCACTTGTGGAAGTTCTCCACCACCACCCCCACAAACATGTTCAGCACGAAGAAGCTGACGATCAGCAGGAAGGAGATGAAGTAGAGCAGCATCCATGGGTTGTGGTTCTGGCTGGGCTGCAGAAGGGAAGGAAGGAAGGAAGGAAGGAAGGAAGGAAGGAAGGAAGGAAGGAAGAAGGAAGGAAGGAAGGAAGGAAGGAAGGAGAGGGGAGAGAGAGGAAGGGGGAAGGGGAAGGGAAGAGGAGGAAAGAGAAAAGGAATGAAAGGAGAGAAGAGAAGGAAGGGAAGGGGAGAAGGGGAGGGAAGGAGAGAAGGAAGGAAGGAAGAAGAAATGAAGGAAGGAAGGAAGGAAGGAGAGGGAGAGAGAGGAAGGGGGGAAGGGGAAGAGGAAGAGGTAGGGAAAGAGAAATAGGAATTGAAAGAGAGAAAGAGAAGGAAGGGAAGGGAGAGCAGGGGAGGGGAGGTTAGAGAAGGAAGGGAAGGAAGAAGCGAAGGAAGGGGGGAGAGAGAGAGAAGAATAAAGGAAGGGGAGAAAGGGAAGTGGAAGGGGGAGGGAGAAAGGAAAAGAAAGAGAGGGGAGGGGAGGGAAGAAAAGGAAGAAAAAACGGATGGAAGGAAGGAAATAAGAAAATACAGAAGGAAAGAGGGAGAAAGAGAAAGAATAAAGAGAGGAAAGGAGGGGAAGAGAAGGGGGAGTAAGGGAAGGGAAAGGGAAAGAAGAGAAGGAAGCATGAAGGGAGGAAGGAAGAAAAGAAAGGAAGGAGGAAGAAGGGAGATAAAGCGAAAGGAAGGAGGGAAGAAAAGATGGAAGGAAGGAAATAAGAAAATAAAGAAGGAAAGAGGGAGAAAGAGAAAGAATAAAGAGAGGAAAGGAAGGGAAGAGAAGGGGGAGTAAGGGAAGGGAAAGGGAAAGAAGAGAAGGAAGCATGAAGGAAGGTGAAAGAAAGGAAGGAAGGAGAGAGGGAGAAAGAAAAAGAGGGAGATAAAGCGAAAGGAAGGAGGGAGGAAAAGATAGAATGAAGGAAGAAGGGAGGAATGCAGGATGGAAGAAGAGAGGGGGAACGAGTGAAAGAGGAAGAGGAAGAGGAAGAGGAAGGAAGGAAGAGAGAAAGGAAAAGGGAAGGAGGGAAGAAGAAGCCAGGGAGAGAGAAAGAGAAGAAAAGAGAAGAAGAAATGAGTGAGGAAAGGAAGGGAAGAAGAAGTGTCAGAGAGAAGGCAAAAGAGAGAGTGAAAGTGAAAGGAGGAAAGGAAGGGATGGAAGCCACGAGGAAAAAAGAGGAAGAGAAGGAGAAGTGAAGGGAAGTGAAGCAAAGGGAAAGGAAGAAAAAAATGTGGGAAGAAAGGAAGAAAGGAGAAGGGAAAGGAAGAGAGAAAGAAAAAGGAGGGAGAGAAAGCAGGAAGGAAAAGGTGAAGTGAAAATGAAAGTAAAAGAGTACGGAGGAGGGAAAGGGAAAGAAAGGTATTCCAGAATCAGTAAAAAGAAAGGAAGGAAGGAAAAATGAAAAGAAAGACAGAAAGAAGAAGAAAAAAGCATTTCATAAAAAGTGTTTTTTAAGGGGAAAAGAAAGATGAAAGGAAGAAAAGTAGGTAGTTTGGTCCCATGAATAGTAAAAAGGAAGGAAGGGAGAAAGGAAGGGGAAGAGAAGAGACACCATAGGATAAGAATCAGGTGGTTGCATCAACCCTGCCCAAATCCATGGATGGGGACAGTTTGCGCTGCATATGGCCCCCATATTTGTGACTCCCCAAGTCAAAAGTGGGTGGAAAAAACACACTTAAAGGCCCCCAAAGCAACCCAGGGAAGCAGCGGGAACCAGCAGCCACGGGGAACTGGCAAACGGGTACTCCAATGCCTCCCTAATGAAAGAGTTGGAGTCTTTGCTTCTACCTGCTGATCCACGCCCACGGCATCCAATCCGTCGTACATGATGTTGACCCATCCGTCTTTGGAAGAGAGGACAAACAAGGACATCAGGGCCTGGGGAAGCAGAGAGACCCATTAGGAAAATGCGGGAAAAGAGGAAACAAACAGATGGAAGTTGTCATTCAGAACATCTGGAGGCTGCTAGGTTGAGGCAAGGCTAGGGTGTCCTTCCAGAACCCTATTATTTGGCAAGGTTTGCTATCACCTTTCTCTGGGTGCATCCACACAGTGGAAAGAGTGCAGTATTGCACCACTTGAACTTGCATGAGTCCTGGGAGCTGTAGCTTTACAAGGTCTTGAGCCCTCTCTGCCACAGAGTGCCGGAGCCTCACCAAACTCCTTAATATTGAGCCACGGAAGTTCAAGGAGGGTTAGGCTACATTCATTCTACAACGTAGATGCACCTGCCAAGGCTGAGAGAATGTGATTTGGTTAAGGTCGCCCAATGAGTGTCCAAGAAGGAAGGAGATGGAGAAGGAGGAGGAGGAGAAGGAAAAGAAGGAGAAAAAGGAAGAGTAAGATTAGGAGAAGTAGATGGAGAAGAAGAAGGAGATGGAGAAGGAGGAGGAGGAGAAGCAGAAGCAGAAAGAAGAAGGAGATGGAGAAGATGGAGAAGGAGGAGGAGAAGCAGAAAGAGGAGGAGTTGGTGAAGAAGGAGATGGAGAAGGAAGAAGGAGAAGAAGAAGGAGAAGCAGGAGCAGAAAGATGAGGAGTTGGTGAAGAAAAAGATGGAGAAGATGGAGAAGGAGGAGGAGGAGAAGCAGAAGCAAAAGGGGAGGAGTTGGTGAAGAAGGAGATGGAGAAGGAGGAGGAGGAGAAGCAGAAGCAGAAAGAGGAGTTGGTGAAGAAAGAGATGGAGAAGAAAGAGAGGAGGAGGAGAAGCAAGAGCAGAAAGAGGAGGAGGAGTTGGTGAAGAAGGAGATGGAGAAGAAAGAGAGAAGGAGGGGAGGAGAAGAAGCAGACAGAGGAGGAGTTGGTGAAGAAGGAGATGGAGAGGAGAAGGAGGAGGAGGAGAAGCAGAAGCAGACAGAGGAGGAGTTGGTGAAGAAGGAGATGGAGAAGATGGAGAAGGAGGAGGAGGAGAAGCAGAAGCAAAAGAGGAGGAGTTGGTGAAGAAGGAGATGGAGAAGATGGAGAAGGAGGAGGAGGAGAAGCAGAAGCAAAAGAGGAGGAGTTGGTGAAGAAGGAGATGGAGAGGGAGAAGAAGAAGGAGAAGCAGGAGCAGAAAGAGAAGCTGGTGAAGAAAGAGATGGAGAAGAAAGTGAGGAGGAGGAGAAGCAGGAGCAGAAAGAGAAGTTGGTGAAGAAGGAGATGGAGAAGAAGAAGGAGGAGAAGAAGCAGAAGCAGAAAGATGAGGAGGAGGAGTTGGTGAAGAAGGAGATGGAGAAGAAAGAGAGAAGAAGGGGAGGAGAAGAAGAAGGGAATGGGGAAGAAGGAGAAGGCGGAGGAAGAATAATAGAATTATAGAGTTGGACCATCTAGTCCAACTCCCTGCTCCCTGCCATGCAGGAAAAGCACAATCAAAGTATCTCTGACAGATAATAATAATAATAATAATAATAATAATAATAATAATAATAACAATAATAATATTTATTTATACCCCGCCACCATCTCCCCAATGGGGACTTCGGGGCGGGCTTACATGAGGCCAAGGACAATCAACAAATTACAGCAAAATAAAACCAAAAACACATGCAACAAACAACATCATAATTACATAAAACATATGAATACATTAACCATATAAGATTACAATAAACACAGTCACCGTGACAATGGGCGGCTACATGTGCGAGAAAATGATTAAAAACTAATTAAAAACACGGGTGAGATAAAAGGAGAAGCGGGTTATTTGCAGAGGGGGGCTCATTAAAACGAGGATTGTGAAATCGAGCTTTCCCACGAAGGGGGGACGGACACACGTATACTCCAATGACAAGAACGTTGAGGCTGAGCAATAGTATGAGGTTGTATGGTCATCCAAGGAAGTTTCCAAGGAAGAAGCTTCCACCATACTGTGATGCAGAGAGTTCCACTGTTGAACAACTTGTACAATTAGAAAGTTCTTCCGAATGTTTAGGTGGCGTCTCCTTTCCTGTCCTTTGAACTCATTGCTTCTAGTCCTAGTTTCCATGGCAGGAGAAAACAAGCCTGCTCCCTCTTCCTTATGGCACCCTTTCACATATTTATATATGGCTATCATGTCTCCTCCCAACCTTCTCTTCTGCAGGCTACACAGGCCCAGTTCTTTAAGATGCTCCTCACAGGGCATGGTCTCCAGACCTTTGATCATTTGTCTTCTGGACACCTTCCACTTGTCAATATCTCTTTTGAACAGTGGAGTCCAGGATTGGTCACAGTATTCCAGGTGAGGTCTAACCGAAGCAGAATGGAGAGGCACCATGACTTCCCTCAATCTAGAGACTAGACTCCTTTTGATGCAGAGGAGGAGGAGAAGGAAAGGGAAAAGAAGGAGGAGGAGAAGGACAAGAAGGGATTCAAACCCTGGACTCCAGAATCATAGTCCAACTCTCAAACTACCATATTATGCCAACTTAGTGGATTGTGGATCCTGCAATCGAAAATGATTTAATTTCACTACTTCTGAGGATGCTTGCCATAGATGCAGGTGAAACGTCAGGAGAGAATGCCTCTAGAACAGTGGTTCTCAACCTTCCTAATGCCGTGACCCCTTAATACAGTCCCTCATGTTGTGGTGACCCCCAACCATAATATTGTTTTCGTTGCTACTTCATAACAGTCATTTTACTACTGTTATAAATCATAATGTAAATATCTGATATGCAGGATGCATTTTCATTCACTGGACCAAACTGGGCACAAATACCCAATACACCCAAATGTGAATGCTAGTGGGGTTGGGGGAGGATTGATTTTGTAATTTGGGAGTTGTAGTTGCTGGGATTTATAGTTCACCTACAATCAAAGAGCATTCTGAACTCCACCAGCAATGGATTTGAACCAAACTTGGCTCCCATGACCAATGGAAAATACTGGAAGGTTTGATGGGCATTGACCTTGAGTTTGGGAGTTGTAGTTCACCTATATCCAGAGAGCACTGTGGACTCATGCCATGGTGGATCTGGACCAAACTTGGCATTAACACTCAATATGCCCAAATGTGAACACTGGTGGAGTCTAGGGATTGATCTTGACATTTGGGAGTTGTAGTTGCTGGGATTTATAGTTCATTACAATCAAAGAACATTCTGAACACCAATGATAGAATTGGCTCAAACTTCCCACATGGAATCCCCATGACCATCAGAAAATACTGTGCTTTCTTATGGTCTTTGGCGACCCCTCTGACACCCCCTCGCGACCCCTCAGGGGTCCCGACCCCCAGGTTGAGAAACACTGCTCTAGAACATGGCCATATAGCCCGAAAAACAACCCAATGATTTAATATTCAGCCAGAAATTGAAATGAGTTAATGTCCACATTGCAAAAGAGCTCCTTCGTTTGGAACAACGCCCCTTCCTTTGTGTCTTGGCTCAAATTAAAACTCCAATGAGGTATCTGTCCTTTTTTGGAACGGTGCACGTGGGCACCGTGGCTGCTTTTGAATCCCAGATGACATTCCTGAACCTTTCCGGCAGCGAGAGGTCACAGCTCCTGGGCCGAAGCTGCCCCATCAATTAATGCCACGTTCCCACCTCTCCAAGCAGGACCTCTCTGAGGAGCTGACCTCTGCCTCCGCCATCGCTTCCAATATCTCTAACCGGCTCAAGAACAGGAATGGTCCCCCTCCATTGCTGCCTAATATGCATTCACGGCATAGCCTTTGAGATTCCCCAATGGCCCAACATAGAAACAGTGGAGGAAAGAAAAGTGAGGGTTGATAGGAATGAGAGGACAAATGAGAGCCAGAAATGGGGACGCAGGCAACAAAGGTAAAGGAATGGTGGCCTTAGGGTTCTATCTGGCCCATTTAGGGTCTCGATTTGTTCCAAAATAGCCTCACAACACTCTTAGAATCATAGAATCAAAGAGTTGGAAGAGATCTCATGGGCCATCCAGTCCAACCCTCTGCCAAGAAGCAGGAATATTGCATTCAAATCACCCCTGACAGATGGCCATCCAGCCTCTGTTTAAAAGCTTCCAAAGAAGGAGCCTCCACCACACTCCGGGGCAGAGAGTTCCACTGCTGAACGGCTTTCACAGTCAGGAAGTTCTTCCTCATGTTCAGATGGAATCTCCTCTCTTGTAGTTTGAAGCCATTGTTCCACGTCCTAGTCTCCAGGGAAGCAGAAAACAAGCTTGCTCCCTCCTCCCTGTGGCTTCCTCTCACATATTTATACATGGCTATCATATCTCCTCTCAGCCTTCTCTTCTTCAGGCTAAACATGACCAGCTCCTTAAGCCGCTCCTCATAGGGCTTGTTCTCCAGACCCTTGATCATTTTAGTCGCCCTCCTCTGGACACATTCCAGCTTGTCAATATCTCTCTTGAATTGTGGTGCCCAGAATTGGACACAATATTCCAGGTGTGGTCTAACCAAAGCGGACTAGAGGGGTAGCATGACTTCCCTAGATCTAGACACTAGGCTCCTATTGATGCAGGCCAAAATCCCATTGGCTTTTTTTGCCGCCACATCACATTGTTGGCTCATGTTTAACTTGTTGTCCACGAGGACTCCAAGATCTTTTTCACACGTACTGCTCTCGAGCCAGGCATTGTCCCCCATTCTGTATCTTTGCATTTCGTTTTTTCTGCCTAAGTGGAGTATCTTGCATTTGTCCCTGTTGAACTTCATTTTGTTAGTTTTGGCCCATCTCTCTAATCTGTCAAGATCGTTTTGAATTCTGCTCCTGTCCTCTGGAGTATTGGCTATCTCTCCCAACTCAATCTTGCAGGGCCCTTTCCAATTAATTATCTGCTATCCCAATTTTCCTCCAGCTTTTGAAATGTCCCAGTTTCTCTCTGGTCCACCCCCTTTCCTCCGAAGTCTAGCTCTCAAAGCATCACACTCCATTATAACAAAGAACAAAATAAAAATTATTATTAAATATCATGGGGCTGCGGTGGTGCAATGGGTTAAACCATTGTGCTGATGAACTGCTGACCTGAAAGGTTGGCAGTTCAAATCCACAGGACAGGGTGAGCTCCCACTGTTAGCCCTAGCTCTTGCCAACGTAGCAGTTTGAAAACATGCAAATATGAATAGATAAATAGGTACCGCATTGGCGGGAAAAAGCAAAGAGATGCTCCAAGCAATCGTGCCAGCCACACAACCAGGAGGTGTCTCCTCGGCTTGGAAATGGGGAAAGAGCACCTCCCCCAGACCCAGAGCACCACCTCCAGAGCCAGAAATGAAAGGAGAAGCCTTTGCCTTTGTCTATTTGTGTTTCACTGTATTCTTATTTGCAGCAAGGCACTGAATGTTTGCCTGTGATTGTATATATGTTGTAATCCACTGTGAGTCCTCTTGGGGAGAAGGGCAGAATATAAATAAAGTATTATTATTATTATTATACTAAAATGTACAATAGTACATATTAAATAACAGCACCACGTAACAAAATTTGAAAATTTTTCTGTTCCTTGTTTGAAAGTGTTATTTCTTGTTTAACTTTGTGGCACTTACTCTAGAAACATTGTTTTTGTGGCTGCTACAAACTATTTTGAATTGGTTACGAATTGATGAGATATTAATTGGAAAACTATAACAAAATGTGTTGTAGGATGTCCCTCCTGCAACTTATGCAGTTTATTAGACTATCCCCATTTTTTTTATGGAACTAATTAGGAAAGACATTTATAACCCAGGAACAAAACTCATGTTGCAGAGTGTAAATGATAATGATGATTTCTTGGCCAGATTCATTGAGCAGAGGTTTTCCACTGTTGTAGATCAGACTATTGATTTAGAGAGGATTGTGGGATTGCCTGTGGGTTTTCCTGGGGCTTGAAGTGATGAAGAATCAAGTCAGGGGAATGATGCTTCTCTCTGTGTGAAATCTGACTCAAAAAGTGCACGGCTTCAAGGCCAGAAACGGCAACATTAGATAAGGAATTGGGCAAAGAGCTAAGTGATACAGAAGGCTCCCAGGAAAGAACACCTAGAGATCCACAAAGGCCTTTGTTTACAGATCAGAGCAGAAAATAAGCATCGTAGGCATGGGAAAGTTGGGGAGAAAATTCATGGGAAACGGAATGCTTTCATGGGTGGCTATTAAATAGCAGGTTGTTTACCCAAGGGTTAGTTCAGGTAACGTAGCATTCAAGTGAGAAACTAGGCCTGAGCATGGTTTTTGATCCAAGTCAAGCCTTTGTTTTGTCTTCCAGTATTCTGGAAGTTTCTATGTTCTTGTTTTTGTATTTATGTTAAGTTTTTACTAAGTATGTCTTTTGCTTGTGGACTTTAGCAGTTCTTGTGATTTTTGGCTATTCCTGGACTGTGTTACCTTTGAATCTATATGAGATGTTTGGATTCCTGTTGGATTATCATCTATTGCTAAACCTTTTTGAATTATACATTTTCTTTCTTTATTCTTGATTTTTTCCTATACTATTTATGTGTTTTTACAACAAACTGTTTGCTTATATTCTGGACTCTTGTGTGGTGCTGTGGTCATGACTTTTTCTAGGCCTGGAGTGCAACATCTACTGAGGCAGAGAGAGTGTGACTCAGTGAAGGTGGGCTTTTATGTCAGAATGAGGATTTGAACCCAGGTCTCCCAATGTCTGAGTCCAACCTTCATCCCATTACACTGCATTTGCTCCCCTTTGTTGTCCCTTACCTGCCCTAAGTTGTCGAAGTTGTACTTGCGCCGGATCCATTTGTAGTGGGCTCTTTTGCAGTCGTCTTTGGTGGAGACATTTCGGATGTCCGGCCCCTCACAGTAGTAGAATTTGCCTTTAAACAGCTGGGAAATGGAGAAATAAATGTTAGTACTGAGCCAGGCAGTTCAAGCAGTCCCAAACTGCATTAATTTGAGAATGTGGCCCTGCTCATGGCAAAGGGGAAAACTGAATGAGGTGTTTGCTGACCAAAAGCACGAAATGTTACCTGCACTCCCAAAATGCCAAAGATGATGAAGAAAGCACAGCAGATGAGCACAATGTTGCCGATGGGGCGGAGGGAGGAAATCAGCGTCTCCACGACAAGCTTCAAACCCGGAGCTCTGCTGATAACTCTGGAAAGAAAATCAACATCGGATTTGATCTACCTGCTGGACTGAAGAGAATAATCACACTTTTTCCTGGTTTTGGATAGCTCTATATTTTGAGAAACCACATCCAGAAAATGTCCCACCACTGAGAGACGGTTCACATTTAGTGAACTTTTTCCAAGGGTGCCCAGTGAATCAATCGTCAATAGAACCAGGTTCACTCAATCATCAATAGAATCATTGGATCAGCTGACAATAGAATTAAGCCCACTGAATTGTTTGTCAATAGAATGAGGTCCATTCAATCATCAACACACTGAAGTCCACTCAATCAATTGCCAATAGAACCAGGTCCACTCAATCACTTGTCAAAAGAACAAGGTCTACTCAGTTGATTGTCAATAGAATCAGGTCCACTCAATCGTCAATAGAATTAGTGGATCACCTTTCAATAGAATCAGGTTCACTCAGTTAGTTGTCAATAGAATCACTGAATCAACTGTCAATAGAGTCAAGTCCACTCAATCAATCGTCAATAGAACCAGGTCTACTCAATTAATTGTCAATACAATCAGGTCCACTCAATCATCAATAGAATTAGTGAATCAATTTTCAATAGAATCAGGTCCACTCAATTAGTTGTCAATAGAATCACTGAATCAATTGTCAATAGAGTCAAGTCCACTCAATCAATTGTAAATAAAGCCAGGTCTACTCAATTAATTGTCAATACAATCAGGTCCATTCAATCATCAATAGAATTAGTGGATCAACTGTCAACAGAATCAGGTCCACTTAAACAATCATCAAGAGAATCAGAGCCACTCAATCAATTGTCAATAGAATCAGGTCCACTCAATTAATTGTCAATACAATCAGCTTCACTCAATCGTCAATAGAATCACTGGATCAAGTTTCAATAGAACCAGGTCCATTCAATCAATTGTCAATAATTTGCCAATAGAACCAAGTCTACTCTATTAATTGTCAATACAATCAAGGCCACTCAATCGTCAATAGAATCACTGACTCAACTATTAATAAAATCAAGTCCACTGGATCAATTGTCAATACAATTGTCTACTCAATCAACTGCCAATAGGATCAGGTCCACTCAATCAATCAGCAACACAATCAGGCCCAGTAAACCAATTACAAATACGATTGGATCCATTGAATCAATTGTCAATACAGTCAGGCCCATTGTATCAATTGCCAATTGATTTAGAGTCGAGTTGAGGACTCGCTTGTGGTGAATGGACTCATTATTCAACAAGTGGTCTACTCAATGGGACTGAACATGATTAATGCCTACATTTGGTGACCAATCATATGAATCTGTACAGCGCAACAATGAGAAACGTTAGACAATAAATATTTTGGGAAATCACGATGGCTTCCCATCTTGATCTCCATGCGAATTGGTTATTTTTTACTTCCTTTCTCTTTCCCAGACCCAAGGGGTGGAATGTGAGTGGGTTAAAAGACCCCCAGAAGCGATACCACAAAAAAGTACCTCAAAGGCCGTAAAGTGCGCAGCAGCCGGAGGACCCGGAGGATCCCTAAAATCTTTGCTCCGCCGGCTGAGGCCATGGAGACAATGATGTCTACGATGGACACAAAGACCAGGACCCCATCCAGGACGTTCCAGCTGCTCTGGAGATAGGTGTGTTCGCCTGAAAAGAAGCCCAGGGCCACGACCTGGAAAACAAGAAGAAGCAGGTGAGACCTCCTCACAAACCATGAGGTAGTCCAAGTGTTCTTTACTGGACATCCAAAATGTTGCAAAACCACAAATCATCCCTATGAATGGCTGAGAGTGACACCTTTGCATTCTGATGGGTCAATGCACACAGAATTAATAGAAATATTGTATTAAGTTACCTACTATTTTGGATATCAGGTGGATATTTATTATAAATTAAATTGGTGTTTACACTTCGGTCCCATTTTCATAGTATGTCAACATGACTACAAAGTCTAGAAATCCCATGGCATTGAGCCCAGGGCAAGGAATATGGTGCCAAACTGCATTAATTCAGCAGTGTGGATACAGTTGTTTGACTCAGCCAGATTAGATTGACTGCATCTGTAGGACTTCTAACAACTCTGACACACCTCAATCTCATTGATTTCATGGTTCAATCTAATTGGGGTACAGAATGGGATTCCGGCAACCCGCCCCTCTCTTTTGGATTTACCTTAACCATCATCTCCGCAACAAAGATGGCAGTGAAAATGTAGTTGGAGACGCTCAAGAAGACTCGCTCCTGTGGAAAAAGGAACAAGAAGACGACCACTGAGTTTGGGTGCTGAATGGCCACCATATTGGTGGAAGTCCACTATCCACTTGCTTTTCCACCCTGACATAAAACCCAGAGGTCTTTGGGGATGGACTGACCACCAACTCACCGTGCTGTTGGGGTCAATGTCTGGCCGCTCCAGTGCAATGGTGATGCAGTTGAGGAAGATGAAGACAAGAACCACGTGGTCAAACATCTTGTGCGCAATGACCTTCTGGCAATTGGCCCGGAACCTCGAATACAACAGAAAGAGTACATTCATTTATCTTCCTTTAGTCTCCATTTGGATAGCAGTCCCTCCCCTACCCATTGATTTGGTTCAAAATGCTGTGGAATTTATTGGTGCCCAAAGTTTGGGATTGGGGCTCATCTCTAGGGGCTTTCTATTTGTAAGATCTTGAAAACACAACAGACCAGCATGCAAGAAACAGGGAACAATAGCAGCAAAAAAATAAAAAGAAGAGGGATATTGCACTTGTATTAGCATCTCTTACCTATTTTGAGGTGAAAACAAATAGAGGGACCAGTCCTCATGAGTCTTGCACCATTCCGGCTTGTAAGGCTCCAAGGCCTTACGGATCCGGTAGCAGTAACTCTGGAAGGATCAAGGCATCATCATTATCATAATAATCACCACCATCATCATTTTCATCATGATTATGTTTATGTTTTGTTTAATACTCTATGTTTTCTCTCCACAAGGAGACTCAGAGCGGTTAAGTTTTTCAAGGCACCAGCTCTTTGGCAGAGAAGTCTCCCATTATTTCATAGCACAAAACACACACACACTGTTTTTAGTGCCAAATACCCATTTGATTTTTTCTGTACAGAGTTAACACCCTGGGATGCACCCAGTGGTGCAAATATTGGCAGAAAACAGGCAAAAAAATCCTTATGCTGTTCTTCCTAATGGGGCTTCTTGAGCTTTAGGAATGTAAAAAAGGTAAGGTAAAGGTTGTCCCCTGACATTAAGTGTAGTCATGTCTGACTCTGGGGTGTGGTACTTGTCTCCATTTCTAAGCTGAAAAGCTGGCGTTGTCCATAGACACTTCCAAGGTCATGTGGCCAGCATGACCACATGGAGTGCTGTTACCTTTCCGCCGGAGCGGTACCTATTGATCTACTCATATTTGAATGTTTTCGAACTGCTAGGTTGGCAGAAGCTGGGGCTGACAGTGGAAGCTCACACCACTCCCCGGATTCAAACCTGCGACCTTTCGGTCAACAAGCTTAGCAGCTCAGTGGTTTAACCCACTGTGCCACAGGGGGCTCCTTTAGGAATGTAATGATGGCCAATAAGAATACTGCCTGAGAAACCCCATTACAAACTATAGCACAAGGATTTTTTCACCTGTTTTCTATTCTTAATTAACTTTACTAAGTTTTTTCATCTGTTTTCTATCACTAACTGACCCTACCCTACTTTTTCCACCCATTTGCTATCTCGAAGGGCCCTTCTAGACAGTCATATAACCCAGAATATCAAGGCATAAAATTCCACAATATCTGCTTTGAACTGGGTTATCTGAGTAAACACTGCCATTTATTCAATTCAAAGCAGAAAATGTGGGATTTTATTCAGCTGTGTGGAAGGACTGAAGTGATTCTACCCATTTCCACCCATTTTCTATCTCTAACAAATTTTATTTATTTCCTCCCATTTTCTCTCTCTAACAAATTTTTACTAATTTGCACCCATTTTCTATCTCTAAGAAATTTTATTCATTTTTACCCGTTTTCTATCTCTAACAAATTTTTACCAATTTTCACCCATTTTTGATCTCTAACAAATTTTACTAATTTTCGCCCATTTTCTATCTCTAACAAATTTTATTCATTTTCAACCATTTTCTATCTCTAACCAACTCGACCAATTTTACCAGTTTTCTATCTCTATTCACCTCTACCCCTTTTTTCACCTGTTTTCTATCCCTAACCAACTATACTAATTTTTCACCCGTTTTCTATCTCTAACTAACTGTACCTGAAATACAGGGCAACATTACGGAAAGAGCAGGAGAGACTCACATCCTCCAGGTCATCCTCCAGGTCCAGCAGTTCATCCTTGTGGCCATCCATGTGCAGGTAGAACTCATTGGGCACGTGAAGCATTTTCCCATTGCAGTCCTGGTACTCAGCGGGAATGACAGCCACGGGGGCCAAGCTCAAGGGATGGTGGACGCCGGACACCTGGAGCAGCTCTGGAAGCTCCAAGGCACCCCGAACATCCAAGGATTCGGCCCGGCAATGGAGGGGTGTCCTTCCCGCTGCGCTGAGCTTGTTGTCCTCGGCCTCGTCATCAGTGCTGCCTTTGCCTTCACCGGAGAGCAAGGACTCCCGTTCCCCGCACTGGCTCTTCTTCTTCAGGCTGGGGGCCCGTCCCAGGCTGTTCCAGCTGGAGCGGCGGCTGCCCCAGTTGCTGCTGGTGCCCCAGTGGGCACAAGGGGTGCTGCGGAGGCTGGACTGGGAGAGGGAGAAGCCAGGTGAGGGCTGGCACACTCACACACACACACACACACACACACAGGCCCTGACTAGTCTCTGTCACAAAGGTACATCTTCATAATTTCATTCAATAAGCAAAATGGCATTTCTTCTCGCCATTGAGTTCACAGCTACAAAGAGACTCCTTTTCATAGAATCCTAGAGCTAGAAAAGACCCCAAAGGCCATCCAGACCAACTCCCTTCTGCTATAAAGGAAGGTGCAATCAAAACACTCCCAACAGATGACCATCCACCTTCTGGTAAAAGAGAAAGACCATCCAGCTTCTGGTAAAAGAGAAAGCATTGGACATCAATTGTGTCCAAGTCCATAAATGCAATATAGGGTGCCAGTCAATACAGTATGATCTACATATCCACATGATTGATACAATAGTTTCATATACCCACGTATGTAAAGTTAGGTCCATTTCCTAGGTCCCCCAGGTTACTCTATGTTTTTGCAGCAGCTGAGCATAGAGTTGCACTGGATGATCTAGTGATGCCTAGAGAATTAGCGTCCTCCAACGAACTCCATTTACGTCCAAGTCCATAATTACAATATGGAGTACTAGCCAATACATTATGACCACAAGGCCAATTCAACCAATCCACAAGACTGTTGAATTTGCAGTTATCTGCAGTTGCACATATTGCGTGGAGTTCACTCTTGGGCTCACTATTTGCTGCAGTTGTGCATATCCACAAAAAGTCCTAAACACATTCTCCCTCTCCCTATTGTATTAATGGTCCAAAAGAGCACCGAACTCTTTCATATCAGAACGGATTCCATCTCCCCAGCCCCACCTCCACCCCAAATGCAAATGGTTCTCAAATACCAAGGATTTCTGGTCAAAGCTCATGGGGTCAACCGAAGCGTTGCTCCCTCTCCGAGAGTCCAGAAAGGGGTAGACTGAATCCATGTGTGGTGAGCCCTTTGGGGAGGGCATTGGTGTAGCAGCGGTGCGCAGGATGATAGGTGGCGGCATGCTGCCCTTGCCCTCCAGGTGACCATTGGGCGTCACGGCCAGAGAGTACATCTTCATCTCTGCAAAGACAGGAGGATAGGAGAATAAAGGGACAATAGGAAGACATCCGTGGAATGTACAGCATGCCTCTGTGGTCAAGGTCCACCAGAGGAACCTACAGATCCCTAGAAAAGTGTGGTTCTCAACCTGTGGGTCCCCAGGTGTTTTAGCCTACAACTCTCAGAAATCCCAGCCAGGTTACTAGCCATTAGTTATAATCAAAGGTCCACCATCCTCTTCACATAATGGCCAATGAGGTGCCCCATACGCCAGCAACTTTATTGTTCAACAGAAAATAATACATGGAGTCATTACTTTTAGGATGTTGGAGATGGCATATTGTCATCTGGACCAGTCACAACTAATGGTGCCTCCTCCATCTATGTAAATGAGCCTCAAATGCTGCCCTCCATCATTGTCTATTTGATTAAAATGCTCTCTCTTAGGACTCTCTAAGTCCTCCAGTGCAATCCTCGGGTCAGCTTCTGCCAGAGGTTCTCTACAGAGTCATGCTGGAGGACCTAGTGAGTTCTAGAGTGTCTAGGTTCCTCTACCAGAGGTTCTCCACAGAGTCATGCTGGAGGACCTAGTGAGTTATAGAATGTCCATGTTCCTCTTCCAGAGGTTCTCCATAGAGTCATGCTCAGGACCTAATGAGTTCTAGAGTGTCTATATTCCTCTTCCAGAGGTTCTCCATAGAGGCAGGATGACCTAATGAGTTCTAGAGTGCCTCAGTTCCTCTATTGGAGATTCTCCATAGTCAGGCAGGATGAATTCCAGAGTGTCTAGGTTCCTCTGCCTGAGGTTCTACATAGTCAGATCAGAACTACTGAGTTCTAGAGTGTCTATGTTAATCTACCAGAGGTTCTCCATAGAGTCAGGCAGAATGACCTAGTGAGTTCTAGAGTGTCTAGGTCCCTCTGCTGGAGGTTCTCCATAGTCATATTGGAGAACCTAATGATTCCTGGAGAGAACCTCTCTCTAGGAAGCTCGAAGTACTTCTAATGGAGGTTGTCCATGGCATCATGCTGGAGGACTTGTAGGAATCTAGACATCTTTAAATCTGGAATCGATCAGTCAGGCTGAAGGACCTATATATTTCAAGAGAGACCATCTCTTTAGGAATCTCCAGACCCTTCTGCCAATCCTGGAGGATAAAGCAATTTCTAGAGAGAAGGTCTTTTTATGAATATTTAGGACTTTCCTGCATAGATTGACCATGGAGTCAGGATGGAGGATCTAAGGATTTGATAGAGAACACCTCTGGGTCCAACCTTTGTACCTTTATCTACTCTCCTTCTCATGTTTGGAAGGACTTTGTAGAGCTAATCTGTGGAACTCACTGCCATAAGATGTAGTCATGTGCCTTGAGAAAGTTGGGAGATTCAGCTCAGAACACACAGCTCCATCTTGTGGCAGTGAGTTCCACAGATTCACTTTGCCAAGTCCTTCTTTTACAACTCATTTGATCTGAATCGCCCTCTTCGCTAACATCTCCATGAAGTTCAGCTAAACTGATTTTACTCCATGTTGCCCTTTGATAGCATAATAAGGAGCAGGAAATAAAAATTCCAATAAATCAGAAATATGAGTATCATAAAACCTACTTTATCCCTTAGATAACACGATCTCTCCTATTGTTGAATGGACTAATCTCTACAGCAGAGAACATTACATAACTTTATGTATAATTTGCTATGCTACAGAAGCACTAGAAAAAAAATCCTATTAGTGAATTGCAAATATGCCAAGGTGCGTAATATGGGATGCTGGCCATTATTTTTTTCCTCCATGCAACTGCATTAATATGATTTTTCATTCTCTTTCTGCTGCATTTCTGCCTTTGGTTGGCTGTCAATTCATCTGGCTTTAAGCCACATGACTAACCCTATTGATTGGTTGTCAATTCATCTGGCTTTCTCAAGCCACATGACTAACTCTATTAAGTGAGAAAGGAAATAAGGAAACTTCCTTGTTTTTTAAAAAATAATCTATGTATTTTAACTGTGCATTAAATAATGTTTTTCTCTTGTCAGGAGCGACTTGAGAAACTTTAAGTCGCTTCTAGTGTGAGAGAATTGGCCGTCTGCAAGGACGTTGCCCAGGGGACGCCCAGATGTTTTGATGTGTTACCATCTTGGGAGGCTTCTCTCATGCCCCACATGGGAGCTGGCTGACAGAGGGAGCTCACCCTGCTCTCCCAGGATTCGAACCACTGACCTCTCAGTCAACAGTCCTGCTGGCACAAGGGTTTAACCTATTGCGCCACGGAGCTCCTAATAATAATAATAATAATAATAATAATAATAATAATAATACCCTCCTCTAATGCAATACTCATTGTGGGAGGCTTCTCTCATGTCCTCGCATGGGGAGTTGGAGCTGACAGAGGGAGCTCAACCTGCTCTCCCAGGATTTGAACCGCTGACCTCTCAGTCAACAGTCAACAGTCCTGCTGGCACAAGGGTTTAACCCATTGCGCCACGGGTGCTCCTAATAATAATAATAATAATAATAATAATAATAATACCCTCCTCTAATGCAGTACTCATTGTGGGAGGCTTCTCTCATGTCCCCGCATGTGGAGTTGGAGCTGGAGCTGACAGAGGGAGCTCAACCTGCTCTCCCAGGATTCAAACCACTGACCTGTCAGTCAACAGTCCTGCTGGCACAAAGGTTTAACCCACTGCGCCACGGTAGCTTCTAATAATAATAATAATAATAATAATAATACCCTCCTCTAATGCAGTACTCATTGTGGGAGGCTTCTCTCATGTCCTCGCATGGGGAGTTGGAGCTGACAGGGGGAGCTCAACCTGCTCTCCCAGGATTTGAACCGCTGACCTCTCAGTCAACAGTCAACAGTCCTGCTGGCACAAGGGTTTAACCCATTGCGCCACGGGTGCTCCTAATAATAATAATAATAATAATAATAATAATAATAATAATACCCTCCTCTAATGCAGTACTCATTGTGGGAGGCTTCTCTCATGTCCTCGCATGGGGAGTTGGAGCTGACAGAGGGAGCTCAACCTGCTCTCCCAGGATTTGAACCGCTGACCTCTCAGTCAACAGTCAACAGTCCTGCTGGCACAAGGGTTTAACCCATTGCGCCACGGGTGCTCCTAATAATAATAATAATAATAATAATAATAATACCCTCCTCTAATGCAATACTCATTGTGGGAGGCTTCTCTCATGTCCTCGCATGGGGAGTTGGAGCTGGAGCTGACAGAGGGAGCTCAACCTGCTCTCCCAGGATTTGAACCGCTGACCTCTCAGTCAACAGTCAACAGTCCTGCTGGCACAAGGGTTTAACCCATTGCGCCACGGGTGCTCCTAATAATAATAATAATAATAATAATAATAATAATACCCTCCTCTAATGCAGTACTCATTGTGGGAGGCTTCTCTCATGTCCTCGCATGGGGAGTTGGAGCTGACAGAGGGAGCTCAACCTGCTCTCCCAGGATTTGAACCGCTGACCTCTCAGTCAACAGTCAACAGTCCTGCTGGCACAAGGGTTTAACCCATTGTGCCACGGGCGCTCCTAATAATAATAATAATAGCCTCCTCTAATGCAATACTCCAAGAATGGGAAACTGTCATGTGGCCACCAAATTCCCCCAGTTAAAAAAAATTGCAATTTTTGGCCTGCAAAAAAAAAACAACAACTCCAAGAGTTCAGTTTTTCATTCTAATTCTGTTAAAATATTTTTTAAAAATACTAAAATTATTACAAATTGGGAAAACCGTGGAGCACTTCAAGATTGGTTCCATGCAAAATTCAGGGTACTTTTAGCCTTTCATGCTCTGGAAATTCTATATTTCTGTGCAGAAGTTGTATTTCATGCACAGAAATGACTGTTTGCAGTGCAACAACACCATAATAATAATAATAATAATAATAATAATAATAATAATAATAATAATAATAATAAACACACTTGATTTATATGCCACACTTATATAATAATAATAATAATAATAATAATAATAATAATAATAATATTTATTTATTTATAACCCACCTCCATCTCCTCAAAGGGGGCTCAGGGTGGCTAATATCACGCCGAGCCCAAAAACAATACAGCAAAATTAGACACAAAACAACAGAAAAATTACATCACAACAGAATACATAAAGTAACAAAATAAAATAATCTGTGTGAAATAACATAATAAAAATCAAACGCAAGGGACTCAGAGCGGATTACAGCATTTACAGCAGACATAGGCAAACATCCAATGCCTTTACTATTACATACACTGAGACACACAAACACAGCCAAAGGCAAAGGCTTCTCCTTTCATTTCTGGCTTCTGGAAGTGATACTTGTTTCTGGCTTTGGTGAAGGTGTTTCTCTCTATTTTCAAGCTGAGGAGCCTGCATTGTCACCTCCTGATCGTGTAGCCAGCATAATAATAATAATAATAATAATAATAATAATAATACTTTATTTGTACCCCGCTACCATCTCCCCAAGGGATGCAGTGCGGCTTACATGAGGCCGAGCCCACAATACAACAATAAAAACAATAGCAACAGTAATACAAACAATAAATAAAACTCATAAACAGAAAATAGCAATAAACATTAACAATAACACAATGACGTTTATCTTCCTGCCAAGGCTACCTATTGATCTACTCACATTTGCATGTTTTCGAACTGCTAGGTTGGCAGGAGCTAGGGCTAACAGCGGGAGCTCACCCCGTCCTGCAGATCTGAATTACCAACCTTCAGGTCAGCAGTTCAGCAGCACAAGGGTTTAACCCATTGTGCCTCTGCGACCCGTAAACAAGAACCCATGCCTGCAAAATATCCACACAATAAACCCCGAATGATTAAAGTGGCAGGGGAAAGAAATTGTGGACCTTAAGACTGATTCCATGCAAAATTCAAGAATTGCATCCCTACTTGACTCTGAAATGGTTTGGCACAGTGGCCTACTTGCCCGAAGCACGAAGTTCCTTCAGCTTCTCAAGCTCTTCCTCGAAGTTGATGGAGGTTTTGTCCTCATCCGTGTCCGACCGGTTGGCATCGCCCTGAGGAAGGGAAGGAAAAGAGGAGTTGAAGATCTTTGTCATGCTGATAAACTGCAAATCATTTCTCATGGAGAGCCAATGGGTGCATCTACACTGCAAAATTAATGCGGATTGATTCCACTTGAACTGTCATGGCTTCAGGCTATGGAATCCTAGGAGCTGTCGTTTGCACCCCTTGGGCAGGGAAGACTCAAGACCGGGTATGGGTAAACCTGGGCCCTCCAGGTGTTTTGGACTTCAACTCCCACAATTCCTAACAGCCTCAGGCCCTTTCCTTTCCCTCAATACCAGCTTGATCAGCATTGAATAGCCTTGCAACTTCAAAGTCTGGCTGCTTCCTTCTTGGGGGAATCCTTTGTTGGGAGGTGTTAGCTGGCCCTGATTGTTTCCTGTCTGGAATTCCCCTGTTTTCTGAATGTTGTTCTATATTTACTGTCCTGATTTTATAGTTTTTTTAAAAAATACTAGTAGCCAGATTTTCATGGTTTCCTGCAAGAGTGCAAAGCTATTCAGTGCTAATCAAGGTGGCCAATACCAACATTCACACTTGCCTTCAACAGACAAGAGTTCTTTCTCCCACCTTGGACATCATTCCACAAATATATACACCTCTCTTGCCTAGTTTTCAACAGACCTCACAACCTCTGAGGATGCCTGCTATAGATGTGGGCGAAATGTCAGAAGAGAATGCTTCTGGAAAATGGCCAGACAGCCTGGAAAACTCACAGCAACCCAGTGATTCTGGCTATGAAAGCCTTCAACAACACATTATTATTATTATTATTATTATTATTATTATTATTATTATTATTATTATGCGGATAAAGGATGTACCAACGCTTCTTTTTCATTTAATAGGTGTACAAAATTGAGAGAATATAATCTTCAGACAGAGAAGGTAAAGCCCTGAGATTAGATAATGTAGTGTGTATGTAGTTAATATTTTTTGGTGCTTTGAATGCAGTAGTAATATGTTTTCTTTTATTCTAGAAAAAGTAGAAAATCTAAAGTTAAAATTTAACTTTATTTTTGTTTGTATGTTAGTATGTGTTGGAATTCAAGGCCACACTGCCCAAGTCTCAAGTCCTCAATGAGGAGAATATTGTATTCCAGGACAGGAAAAGCCCTCTGACTGTAAACACCACACTGTTGTTTGGAAAACAATCCTCTTATTGAAGATACGAGGGGTATTTTTTAAGTAAGGTCCGTTTGAACATAAGTACACAACGAAAGTTTATTTCAAAAAAGTAAATTTATTTTCAGAAAGTACATACTTCACTCTATTTTTCGACATAGTTGCCAAGTTTGTTCAAACACTTATCATACCTCTGAACCAATTTTAAAATACCCTCTTCATAAAAACTTGCCGCCTGCTCCGATAACAAGAGTTCACTGTAATCAAAGAAGGGCGACCGGAGTGGTCCTCATCATGGACGTTGTCACGGCCATCTTTGAACTGTCGTACCCACTTACGCACTTTGCTTTCACTCATAACAGTATCACCATACACTTCACAAATCTGTCGATGCAGCAGGCAGGTTCCTTGCTGACAAAAACCGTACCACTGAGCGAACGTCACATGCGGAGGGTGAGTTGATAGTCTTAAACATTTTTAAAGCACAGAACAGAACCGTACAGGTGAGCTACAGAGCAGAAACTGAGCACAGTTGTTCCCGAGGCATGCCAGTACACGACGCACACGCTCGATGCGGTATGCGCGCGAACTACTAGTGTCTACAACAGTGGTTCTCAACCTTCCTAATGCCGCGACCCCTTGATACACTTCCTCATGTTGTGGTGACCCCCAACCATAATATTATTTTTGTTGCTACTTCACAACTGTAATTTTGCTGCTGTTATGAATCGTCATGTAAGTATGCAGGATGTATTTTCATTCACTGGACCAAACTTGGCACAAATACCCAATATGCCCAAATTTGAATACTAGTGGGGTTGGGGGGAGGGACTGGTTTTATCATTTGAGAGTTGTACTTGCTGGGATTTATAGTTCACCTACAATCAAAGAGCATTCTGATCTCCACCAATGATGGAACTGAACCAATCTTGGCACACAGGACTCCCATGACATACAAAAACTCTGGCAGGGTTTGGTGGGCATGGATCTGAGTTTGGGAGTTGTAGTTCATCTACATCTGTGGACTCAAACAATGATGGATCGGACCAAACTTGGTCATCTACATCAATATGCCCAAATGTGAATACTGGTGGAGTTTGGGGGAAATAGACCTTGACATTTGGGAGTTGTAGTTGCTGGGATTTATAGTTCACCCTACAATCAAAGAGCATTCTGAACCCCACCAATAGAATTGGACCAAACTTTCCACACGTAACCCAGATGACCAAGAAAAAATACTGTGTTTTCTGATGGTCTTTGGCGACCCCTCGGACACCCTCTTGTGACCCCCCCAGGGGTCCCAACTACCAGGTTGAGAAACACTGGTCTACAACAAAACGGACCTTACTTAAAAAATACCCCTCGTACGTACTTTCTGAAAATAAATTTACTTTTTTTGAAATAAACTTTCATTGTGTACTTATGTTCAAACGGACCTTACTTAAAAAATACCCCCTCGTATTTTAGGGTACTTTTCCCTAATTGGTTTAAATTTTAAAAAAATAATTAAAATAAAATAAAATAAAGGTGGGATGTGATAATAATAAAACTAACAACAAAAACAACAACAACAACAATACCATTGAGGAAATACATTATGTTACAAAATTTGAAAAATATATATTCCTCTTTAATTGTGAAAAATGTTCTGTTTCTGATTTGAAGGTTTATTTCCTGTTGAATTGTGTGGCACTTACTTTGAAAGTAGTTGTTATACTCCAGAAACGTTTTTGTAGCTGCCACAAACTAGGTTGAATTAGTTGAGACTCTTATGAGATATTCATTGAAAAACAGGAGCAAAAATGTGCTGCAGGATGTCCTTCCCACAAAAACAAAGTTTTTGCAGTTTTATAAACTTTGCCCATGTTTTTATAATAGAACCAATGAGGAAATCCCATTTATAACCCAGGAACAAAACTCATGTTACACAGTGATATCAACCAGCTAGCCTGGGCTCTCTGCCTAACTAGAGGCCAGCTGTCCTCAGAAAAGGAATGGTCAGTATCTTGAATGTCCATCTCCTTCTTGAAATTGGTCCACCAAAAACTCAAGCGGGCTTCCAAGTTGGGAACCAATTCCCCCTTTGAAGCTACTTTCCCTTTTGTATCGTTCCAAAGGCCCCAGTCTCCGTCGCTTGCCAACATGCAGCTTGGCAGCCAAGCCTTTTCCGGAGAATGGCCATCAAAACGGAGGGACTCTGGGCCAAAACCTGCCTTGCCAGGGAGTGTAGGGATGCACGGAGAAGGAGAGAAACACAATCGATCCGCAGCTGTCCGTCCGACGGAATGAGCCATTAGCATTATTACTGGTGATTTTGGGCAACGTCAGCCAAAGAAGGAAGGCCAATGAGAAAGAGGAGTTGCTTTGTTCCAAGAAGAAGAAAAAATAATAATCCTGGGATGCTTTCCCAAACAAACACAAGCCCATCTGACCTCCGCTCTGGCCCTCTTTGGCTTGGACACAGACGACATCAGGAGCAGATTTTAGAAGGATATCTTCGGCAAATCATTCCCGGCCCTTATTCCAAGGCACAGCTTGTTCCCCTGGATGGAGATGCAATGGCTGATGAGGGAGATCTGGAGGAAAGCCCAGCTCAGTTCAACCCTTGCTTGGTAGAACAAGAAAACGGTCATCTCCAAGCCTGAAGCCTGCATTGCTTCACTATTATGAGAAGATTGCACTGCCTTCCATTCAATGGAGATCCGAATCTTCTGTGTCATGGGGCCGGGAACTCACATTGACTTCAATGTATGGTAGCCATACAACCGGGAGAGATACCTCTATGGCTCGCATTCTCTGGAGATCAGTATTGTCTATGTCATGATGACAGGAACCCATGTTGACTTCAACTTATGATGGCCCTACAATCTGGAGACATGGAGAGATATTCCTATTGCTTGCATTCAGTGGACGAGTATCTTTTGTGTCTTGCTTTCCAGGAACAAACATTGACTTCAATTTATGGTAGACCTAGAACCTGGAGAGATATTCGTATCACCTCCATCCAATGGAGATCAGTATTGTTTATGCTGTGATGTCAGGAACTCCCATTGACTTCAATTTATGGTAGCCCTAGAACCTGGAGTGATATCCCTATCGCTTCCAGTGGAGACCACTATTGTCTATGCTGTGATGTCAGGAACTCACATTGACTTCAATTTATGGTAGGCCTAGAACCTGGAGAGATATTCCTATCACTTCCATCCAACGGAGACCAGTATTGTCTACGTCATGATGTCAGGAACTCACACTGATTTCAATTTATGATAGCCCTTGAACCTGGAAAGATATCCCTATCACTTCCATCCAATGGAGACCAGTATTGTCTATGCTGTGATGTCAGGAACCCATGTTGACTTCAACTTATGATGGCCCTACAATCTGGAGACATGGAGAGATATTCCTATTGCTTGCATTCAGTGGACCAGTATCTTTTGTGTCTTGCTTTCCAGGAACAAACATTGACTTCAATTTATGGTAGGCCTTGAACCTGGAGAGATATCTGTATCACTTCCATCCAATGGAGACCAGTATTGTCTATGCTGTGCTGTCAGGAACTCACATTGACTACAATTTATGGTAGCCCTAGAACCTGGAGACATATCCCTATCACTTCCAGCCAACGGAGACCAATATTGTCAATGTCATGAGGTCAGGAACTCACATTGACTACAGTTTATGATGGGCCTACAACTTGGAGAGATTTCATCATTGTCATCCTCACCATCATTATTGCAGCCCATGAGATTGGTTAGAAATCTCCTGTAGCATAGCATTTCCAATGACTTTGGTCAAAATAGCTTGCCATTTTAAGCCACGGGGTCTGTAGCGATTCTATAGTGACCCCCCATTTTTTATTATTGCATTCTCTATTGTTGATTTAGTTTTGTTGGAGCTGTGTAGCACTTTTCTCCTGAATAGGACTCAAAGGGGCTTAGGAAATAAATTAAGACAAGGCCTATGTAACCATATGGAACACAGAAATAAATGTAAAAGGAAACACATTCAGATAAAACACTGCTTTAAAAAAGCTGAAAATGAAACAAATTGGGTGCTTAACATTCGTACAGTATGCCTGCCTCTATTTGCAGGTTTCATTGACCCGCATGTGACAAAATACGTCCTCTCTAGGCCATTTCTAGGTCCTATAAACTGTTCTATGATATGTTTCCATTGGATGTTGGCTGCAGAATTGTGCTTGGTGATGGAAACTCACTGGGTGACCTTGGGCAGGTCACACTCTCTCAGCTTCAAAGGAATGATCTCAACACATTCGGCAAAGGAAAGCTCCAGAAAGGTTCACTGGAGG